AATGCCTCCCAGAGACTCTGTCAGGATCTCTCAACCAGGAAACCTAATGTCCACCCGGCGGATATGCCTGTAGTATGACAAAAGGAAAAAAGAAATGTCACCTCTACCCGGTATATGTGCCTGCAGCAGAGTTCCTACCTGGCGCATATGCTTACAGTAGGATAAAGACGAAGTACTCAATACAATCATCTAGTGCATATGCTTGCATTGATGTGAGGAGGAAAGAGTAGTGAGGAATGCCTCCTAGGGACTCTATCGGGCTGTCTTAACTAGAAAACCTAATGTCCACCCGGTTTAAATGCCTGCAGTATGACAAAAGGTAAAAGAAAGGTCACATCTGCCCGGTGTATCTTCCTACAGCAGAGTTCCTACCTGGTACATATGCCTGTAGTAGCATAAAGATAAAGCACTCAACACAACCATCCGACGCGTATGCCTGCAATGATTTGAAGAGGAAAGAGTTGTGAAGAATGCCTCCCAGGGACTCTGTCGGGATCTCTCAACTAGGAAACCTAATGTCCACCTGACGCATATTCCTATAGTAGGATAAAAGGAAAAAGTAACCTCTGCCCGGTGTATATGCCTGCGGCGGGGTGTCTACTTTGCTCATATGCCAAAGTAGTACAAGTAAGAACACTCAACATAATCATCCGGCGCATATGCCTGCAATGTTGTGAAGAGGAAAGAGTCACCTTTGCCCGGTGTATATGCCTATAGCAGATTCCCTACCTGGCGCATATGCTTACAGTAGGATAATGAAGAAACACTCAACACAATCACCTAGCGCATATGTTTGCAATGATGTGAAGAGGAAAGAGTGGTGAGGAATGCCTCCTAGGGACTCTATTGGGCTCTCTCAACCAGGAAACCTAATGTCCACCTGGCGCACATGCCTGTAGTATGACAAAAAGAAAAAGAAAGGTCACATTTGCCCTGTGTATGTGCCTGCAGTAGAGTTCCTACCCGGCACATATGTCTGCAGTAGGATAAAGATGAAGCACTCAACACAATCACCCAGCACATATGCCTACAATGATGTTGAGAGGAAAGAGTCACCTCAACACCAACCTAACACAGCTCTGCGTAGGGATGTAAGAGAAAAAGGAAAGGTAAGTGGAAGAATTCCAAGGGTAGAGTTATCTAAGAAATCCCAAGTGAGCATTTTAGTTACCACATGGTAGAGGTCAAATCATCATGGTCATGAGTATCCAAATACCATCGGAATCTCTTAGGGAACCCTAACCCTATACAAGAGGGTAGAAAGATATCAGACTAATGTCTCACAAGAAAGCTAGAAGAGATACCCTCAGTAGAGTGTACAAAGAAGAAGTCTTATTCCAAGTAAGTAGGAACATAATGAGTGAGGGGCACTTCTACTATAGAAAGCAGGACTAAATCTAGTAGAATCAATCATCAAGGAAGCTACATTGGTAAACCCCTACTAATTGATGGGGATCCTAGAAGAAGTAGAAATAATATCAACACATCCAAATGACCACTCCAGCAGCTAGGAGTCGGGTCTCAATGGGAAAACAAGTGGTAGAAGGAATTAAAGAGCTGACTTTCTACTAGAAAATTAAAGCTCACAAAGGTAATGATGGCGGCACCTAAGGCCTAATGCCGTAAATCACCTAATGGGAGAAAGAAAGATGAAGTAGTGAGGAGATACACTCACCACTGATGACAACAATCCAGAATGAGATCAATAATCATCTAAAACACACAGTGGTAACACCAACACAAACTAGTGGGACCTTGTGGGAAGTGAAAGTGACCGCAACACATTTATAACACTACTCTAGTGACTGATCCTAGTGTATGAATGATAGGATAGGCCACAAAAATGAGCAGGAGAACTAATCTTCTGCTAAAAAATCAAAGTTCTCAAAGCAATGATGTCAATGTCTAGGACAAGATATACTACATCACTACTAGGAAGACTACTCTAAGTGGTAAGGGGACACACTCATTACCTAAGGATAGTAACTATGAATAGAATTGATAAATGTCATAGGCTCACAGCGGTAACACCTACCCTAATCAGGTAGAATCCTGTAAGGAGTGAAAGTGGGAGTGACCTCAACACTTTCATAAGACTACTCTAGCGACTGAGCCTAGTGTATGAATGATAAGATAGGCCACACAAAAAAAGAACAGGAGAACTGATCTTCAGCCAAAAAATGAAAGCTCTCCAAGCAGTGATATCAATATCTAGGATAAGAGATATTGCATCACTACCAGGAAGATAACTCTAGGTAGCAAGGGGACACACTCACTACCTGGGGATAGTAATTATGAATTATAGGAATAACCATCAAAAGGTCATAGTGGTAACACCTCCTCTAATCAGGAAGGACCCTGTAAGGAGTTAAAGTAACCCTAGTATATCTGTGAAGTTACTCTGGCAGCTAAGAGTAGGATACAAGTAGGAAAGTAGGTTGCTGAAAGGGTAGAAAAGAGGGCTAATCTTTCTTCAAAAAAATCCAAGCCAAGTGGGAAAGTGATACTAACATCTGAGGCAAGGTGTACTATATCACAACCAAAGACCATTAAAAATTATAGAGGATCATAACCAAATAAGTGTGGATTCAACCTTGAAGCAATCACCAAGGTGCTTCCAAGGAGGAGAAAGAAGAATTTTTGGGGAATTTATGCTCTTATAAAGTATTACCGGGTTCCTCCTATAATAAGGGCAACTAGTTTTGCTCTACTAAGAGCTTCCCTCTTTTTTATCATATGCATTTTTTTATTTTATATATTCTCAATCATAGATCTGGATTATCATGTATTGTCGAAGATAACACATAGTAGAGGGAATGTTTATCATATATATGAGTTGCTCCTAGTATGAGGGCATCCTCTAATAATTGGAATACAAAGAGAGGGAATTATGAATAGTTTTGATATCCCAGACCATGTTCGCCACATGAACAAAACTGGGGAGAGAGATTATATAGGATCTTATAAAAAAGTGAACCATTGGTTTTGATAACCCAGACCACATTTAACTCATGTGAATGAACTGGGGAGTACGATCATAATAAAATTGACAGATTAACGTAATCCAAATTAGGATGTTGAATCATCATTACCATTCTTGACTAACATTGAATGGTATGGACTCAGTATCACATCTCTAGAGAGTTTAAACTAATGATTTTGATATCCCCGATCACATTCAACTTATATGAATGGACTGGGAGCTACAAATATCATAGCAGGACTGATAGGAGGAAGAAATTTATATAGGAGTAGTGGATCGCTATCACTGCACCTGACTAACATAGGAGGGTGTGGACCAAGTATCACATCTTGAAAGTAGACTTGAATCATTGGTTTTGATATCCTAGACTACACTTGGGGGTGGCAAGTGAAAATGGGGAATTAAAACCCATAATGAATATTTTGGTTATATGGACCTAGTCAAAAGTGACAAATGAAAACATACCCCAAAAGAATTCAGTATAATGACTCCATCCAACCTCAAAAGAATAACAATTTAAATTTACTAACTCAGTTGGAGCTCCATACCATCTAGATTATGCTATCTCTTTTATATGAGTTTTTTTTTTTTTGATTTAAAATCTAATTCAAAAAGAGATTTAAATTAGAAAAAGAAATTACATTTTTTCAATTTTCTTGTATGAAAATATATTTCCGTATCGGATAGGATATCATTGCATAATGATAAATCTAAAGTCATAATTTTCAAAATCAAATATCAAAAATATCAAAAGGATTCATGAATTTTTTGAGATTTAGAGATTTATTAGAAAAGGAAGTCATTTTTACTTATTAATTTTAGGCTCATTTTATGCCGTTTTCTTAATTTTAGTGAGCTATGCACAATATTTTTAATTACTTGATGCACTTTGTGTATCTTTTAATTTTGACACACTTTATGCTTTTTTTTTTGTAACTGGCTTCCTTTCCAAACCTCTAAAAGAAAACTTTCACTCAGTTGTAAGATCCTCTTCCAAATACAAGAGAAAAAAACTCACTTCTCTCATGCAAGGAAGAAGGATCTACAAAATAAATCTAATCATGTGATAAGAATGAATAGCTTAATTGAGAAAATTATGAAGAGTATTAATCAGCATGCTAAAGTTATCTATGAGATAGAGAATTACAGGATAATGAAGAAAATTTTTACTTCTAAATCCAATTTCAATTTGAAATAGATTTTAGTTTTAAAAAAAATCTCTCCACACATGGGATGAGATAAAGAGGTCATACTCTTTCATGAGTCATCACAATGAAGATAGTAGAGCTAGAAGAAGCAAGAGAGAAAAAATAACTCAAAACCATCCTCTTTTTTTTTTATTGAGTAATCACCAATAGAAGGGAGAATAAAATCTTTCAGCGTAAGTGCTGGAAGGGGGCCTGTCTTTCCTTCTAAGGTTACAACAATTTTTTTTATTTCATATATTTTTCTAGTTTAAATAAAAGCAGAAATAGAAATGTATTCATCTAGCGCTATAACAGAAGTAGGAAAAGAAGAAATGGGCGCTAACAAAGAAACTTGAGTGGCAATTGTGGACTTGGCCTAGGGAGGCCTCCTCGTAATTGCCTATGAACTATGTATATCTTTCTTAATCATCTGCTAGGTCTTCTTGGAGAGAGCTAGCTACCACTCTCCCTCAGAATTGTGTGGTGACCTGCTACTACTTCCTTGACTATAACTATGGCTGTCACTGTGGTTAGAGTCTAAAATCATTTATATTGTCTGAGTAGCCTTGCCTAGAGGCTGTACCAGATCACTATCCTGAAGATGTATCTTTTCAGTGGTCATAGGCTCCCCACCTTATCCTTGAACATAAAATAATCTTCAAGTGTATGCCCAATATGTCAGTGAAAGGGGAAATATAGTAGATGTTCTGTTGGCCTTCTTCATCTTCCTTCTTATTAAATGGGATTGTCAATATATTTTTCTTAATAATGAATTTAAATACTTTTCTTATACTTTCTCTTTTAAAGGGATATTCCTTGTTAAGTCTCTCCTATAAAGACTGTTGACTCTCTGAGATCTTATAAGGAATCCTAGACTGCTGAATTTGTGGTCGTGATGGAGGTGAACTTCTCACGGGCTTCTTGCCCTTATCTGGTGGCCCATAGGTACTATATACCTCCCCTTTCCTAGGAGAAAGTGCCCCTGAAGACTCCTGCAGCTGAGGTCTACACGAAGGTTGACTCTCAACCTTAGGAGGGACTACATCGAGTATACTGTCCTGCAAACTGATGAACTTAGTTAGCAATTTTTGAAAGGTTATTATACTGAAACCTTTTAGGTAAGGTGTTATAGGGTCATTTATATTCTTCAACAAAATTTTTACTGCATGCTGCTCCTGTAATTGGGGCTCACACTGTAGGCTAAGATTTCTCCATCTAATTATATAATCCTGTAGTGGCTCTCGAGGATGATGTCTAGTAACCACTAACTCTCCTACTATGACCTGGTGCTCTACACTAACAAAACTCTGTATAAAAAACTGCTCTAACTTTATAAAGGCATGAACTAAGTTGTTGTGGAGGTCAACGCCACCGCAACTAAATTATTGACAAACAACCTCAACATCAGGGTATCGTTCCGCTTATGTTGCAACATATGGCTCGGTACTGAGCCATATGCTGCCTCGAGTTTCCAAACCCATAGAAAACTCTGAAATGTGGGGGAACAAAATTAGGAGGGTAAGGCTTCTGCTCGTACTTAACAGGATAAGGATTCCCTCTGCTAATAACCTCTCCACTTTTCCTGGAGGAAATCGCCTACTCTACTTTATGAGCTATTAAATCCTGAATCTGACCCGCTAACAACTGTGCTGGCTGACTCTAAACTATTATAGGTGCTGTAAGAACTACACTCTGAACCTTATCCACTCTCACAGGGTTTAGTACTACTGGTGGTACTATTGGTTCATCTCTGGATGTGATAGGGATACCTATGCCTATCATATGGGGTGTAGCCCATAGGTACTACTGGTGGTACTATCAGTCATCGCTACCATGGCCTTGACCATCTCAGCTATATGGGTTTATAGATGTAAGACTGTGGCATCCATAGCTACTAATCTCAGAGATCATCTCGCCTTGGGGTCTCCCTGCTCATCTTCATCCTCAGGCTCTCTTTGCTTGTCCGAGTGACCTCGACGTGTAATCACGTAGACTCCGTGTATTAGTATATCCTCATCTGACTCATCTCCTATTGTGTTATCCTCAGAGAAGGCCAGACAGAGTGCCTCTATATAGGGACTCATAGGGGAAGTGATCCTATAGGGGCTAGGTGCTAAAGCTATCTTAACTCGATCTAGTGATCCATTGGGAGGAGTAGTATATCCAAATCATAAGTCTTCGGGACCAACTCGGACCTAGAAGGAACTACTACATCCATTTGATCTATTGTATCAACTAGCTGAACTGCCTCTATTGACTGTACTGCCTCAACTAGTTATACTATCTCCACTGATTGTAATGGCTCGACAGGGGTGTCCGCCTATCGACGTCTCCAAACCCACCTACTATGGCGGGGCTCCGTACGGGTAACCGGCTACTGAGGGGCTACCATAATTAGACTAATTTGGGGCAAAGTAGGCTCCCATTACCTCTCTGTCTGCGATGACGTGGGTGTCATCCAATAGTAGGAGTAACTGAAAGTTTGTTAAGGATGTTAGGCCCTATAAACTAGTCCCGAGGCTAACCAAGGGGGGGGGGGGGGATGAATTGGTATTTTAAAAAATTCTTTCAAACCAAAATATCATAAACCAAAGTCACCACTGAAAAATAAGTGCGAAAAATTAAAGTGTGAAAGCAGTAAAAAGAACACAAGTGTTTATTGTGGTTCGGTCAACTTGACCTACGTCCACTCCCCGGAGGCGCCCTCCGAGTATTGCACTACCAACGTGACTCTCCTTTAGCCCCCACAGCTAGGCGGAGAATCCCTTACAAAACACCTCCTTTTTTCCACCCCCGGTAAGCAGAGAACTCCACTCCTTTTGCTTCCTCCGAAAGCAGGCAGAGAACCTTGATCAATCGCTGAAGCTTACCTCTCCCAACCCTTCCAAGGACATGAGACTCTAGGGAAAAAGAAGTGGAACAATGCTTGGAGCAACCCTTATGAACTCTCTCACAAGCTCCCCCTCACAAGATTCTCTCTCTCTCTCTCTCTCTCTCTCTCTCTCTCTCTCTCTCTCTCCTTTAGGTTTTCTCAGGTCAAGACAGCAGCCAAAAGATGTCCAAAAATGTTGAATAATATCTCTTAAATATAAGAGCTTCAAATAGCTCAATAAATGTAAGTTGCCGACTTTATCGTCCAGGATGATAATAATATTGTTCTGTATAATCAGTTTATATCTCAGATGATCGGCCAGAACTCTGCTCTGACAATGAATTGGACGATTAAAAATTGGCTTGATCGTCCCGGCCGATCCCACGATCGTCCCGAACGATCTGTTCAAATCAGAGGAAAATCATCCAAAGCATCACTCTGAATTCGAGTTGACTGATCCTAGTCGGCCAGAACATCGCCCTAAATTTATGCTGACCAATATTTATCATCCAGGAGCAACTAAGAATTTTGGAATATTCATTCCGGCCGATCCCATGATCGTCCAGGATGATGTGATCGTATCAATTCATCCTTAATTGCTTCCTTGATTGCCAGATCAATTTAGGCATAATTGTGCAATATCGTCCAGGATAATCTCACGATCATCTAGGTCGATTTCCAAAAATACAGAATACTTAAATTGATCATGGCAGCTATTTCTTTCTATTTTGAGCATATCGTCCTGTCCGATAAATGTATCGTCCAGGATGATCAGTTAATTACGGCTGCCTTAACTAAGAAATCATGATTAGAACTTCTATTTTGAACTCGATCGTCCAGGCCGATATAAATATCGTCCGGGACGATGAGAGTAAAAATAGAAATTTTAAATCTCTCAAGTGTGTGTGTGTGTGTAGGGTTACTTAACATCAGTCACTTCAAACATTTACAATTGACTCAAGAAAAAGAAAAAGGAAAATTACAGACTGATTCAACCCTAATCTACCAGTCTTGAGCTGATTCCGTTTTCGTCCGATCTTTGAATCCTGAAAAAGTTAGTAGTAAAAGGCAGTCGAAAAGAAGAAAGAGTGTTTGCTAATCATCAAAATATAATCCATGAAACCAAATTTGCAACAGTAACTGCCGGTAGTCTAAAAATCGGAGCTATATCAACTGACTATTGAGGTGGCTGTCCTCTCTGCCACCTATACCTCTGTCTTACGGTTTATCTTTGTAACTGAAGAGTAACCTGAGAAATCTATCAGAGTAACCTTTCTCAACTAACAGGCCCTCTATCATGCTCTAAGCAGACGATACTCTGAATCCTCTGAGAGAGGGCTCGAATAACAGCTTCCCTAGGGACCCTAGCCCGGGGTAGAGTAGTGGTAATAGGAGGAGCTACCACAATGCATGCAATGTCCTCCTTATTGCCAATATATTTTAATGGAGAGAAGCATCCTCCTTGGATTGCCTCTATCTCAAGTGCAAATACTATATCTGGGGTAGGTGTAACTGCAGCTGGTCATGGTCTCCACTTCCTAGCAGTCACTCTCCTATGAACGAACTCTTGATGAGCAACTACATCTGCCATCTACTGTCTATCTGCCTAAGATACAGTCAAACAAAGTCTCCTATTTATGTTCCTCTTGGCCCTTCTCCCAAGGCTGGAGGTAGAAGAGGAAGGAACATCTGAACCCACAACCTAGGTGGTAGGGGGAACAGGAATAACAAGAAGGGTCGGGGTCTACTCGATGGTCTCAGGGTGAGAGAGCTAAGAGAAAATAGAAACCATATGAGAAGAAAGCGAAGGAACCTCAGTCTACGCACCCCTCTTTCTAGTGGAAGTGGGAGGGGGAACCCGAACTCTAGGTACCTTCACTGGAATAATGGGGGTAATAACAGCAGGCTGCCGGCACTGATGGGGTGGAGTAACCTGTGCAATAGGTGCAGTATGCACTGGCCGCCTAACCACAGGACGAACGGGGAGTGGTCTAGGCAATGGTCGCCTAACCATAGGGCGCACTAGCTGCACAGGAACGTGAACATGACAAGTAGGTGCCTGGGCTATCTACCAAGCAACTGGATGTCTGAAGGGATACATGGCTGCACGTCCTCTCATCTGAGGAGGAGAGAATGCAGTAGCCTCATTAGGGGTGGGTCCTCCAAGGGTGACAAATGCCGAGTTAGTGATGGAAGTAAAAGTGACTCCAGCGGGGGGACTAGCAAGTAGGGACTCAGAAAGAGTCACCCGTACATCCGAGCCAAAGCTAAAAGTCACAGAAGGTACCAACGAAGACATGGCACTGCTGCCAAGAAAAGAAATTTGAAAAGTTAGTTAGAATTGAAATCATGAAAGAAGGAATGAATAGAATAATAGATAGATAAGGGACGGAATAGCCTGCAAGGATGAAAATAAGTAGAATAGGGGGAAACCCTAGCTAAGAAGAAAGAACCCTAACTAAGGAAAGACCCTAAGTAAGAGTGGGACAGACTTAATCTAAGGAGTACCAATCCGGAGTACACAAAAAAAAGATAATATAGAATCCAAAGATGGAGAGAGAAATGGGTCCCACTGCGGTCACCAAAAACTTCTGGACTTCCCAAAGGGCACCGCTACGGCTGCAAGATTACATAGGGGTATACGATTGCACCTACCCCAAGGGATAGAGATGATTGCGGGCCTCCACGCTCCTCACAAATGGGCTGATAGAAGGGTAGATTAGATCGTGCATACGACTAGCCATTGAGGATAGCGGCTCTTACCAGTGCACCCCGATGGATAGTAATATACACAACCTGATCAAAATCACGAGTTTCCACCACCCGATACATCAACTCGAGTGGGGTTTATTAGATGGTGGAATTCAGTTTTCCATAAGCGTAAGCCCCTGTAGTTAATTACATCTCATGCCGGAGCCTGAGACTCTCGATTAAGGATCCTATATTATCCTTTCCACAAATAGAATTGGCACATATGGCTAAGACTAGGAAGTCCTATTCAAATGGAAAGAAAGGGTTCAAAGGGCTTAGTCAACATACACGGCTCATACTGACATCCAGAGGGACCAAGGTAATGAGAAGAAACTAGAGAAAATAAATCAAGCACTTGACACATGTTTGAGAGAAAGATAGAAGTGGCGCCATCCATGTGATGCATATAAGTAGGATTTATAGTACCTGAAAAATAGAGAACTTACCCACTATTTAGCCATACCATGAGATCGAATGTAGTAGCCTTAAATTCTAAATATAAATTGGGTTTAGTTATACACACAATACTAAAACCCATGTCCTAACTAATGTTATGCAAAACTTAAACTTATCTCGGCCTACATTGGGGAGCCAACTAACCACCTAATCAATTTAAAATCATGTTGTCCAGTCATTTATGAAAGAAGGGTGGGTGGTTTAGTTTTTTGAAAGTTAAGGTCGACATCTAGAGAGCTCCTAAGTGGCTTTATACTTATGTTGGGTAAATTCTTCTAAAGCTAATGTAATTAAAATTTTAATTTAATTAATTTCTAATACAATGCATGCTGGTTGAAGTCTCCAAATCAAATATGCATAAGACTTTAAAAACATGCTTACAGCAAAAAATAATTTTTAGAAGGAGACTAGACTTCCCCAAGTCTGTCACTTCATCCTCATAGGCCAGATTATCCAGACTCTACCCACAGGCAGGGAAGTGTCTCTTTAGAAGGAAAGAGAAGAATGCATTGATATGCATGCAACCACGGACGATTTTGATAGTTCCCTAGGTCATTAGGTTTCTATGTTATTTAATTCTTAAAGTTTTAGATATTAGTTATGAGTAGAAAATATTTTAGTCCTTAAAGAGCCTAATAAAATTCAGGCTAAAGCAAAAACGGCATGTAAATTGCCAATAAACTAAGAAAATCAGACAACCCTAGAAGCAAACATTTATAAATAAAATACATCTAAATAATCAAATTAATTAATAAATATCCATAGGCTAACTACCCTTAATTATAACCCAGGGTTTGTAGAAAATAAAGTGGTCGGGCACCACTGCCAACAACCCAAATTTCTAAGCCTATGACTGGTGCAAATGACTTTGGTGGGATATTATGTCTTCAGATCTTTAGTCTTCTCTGCTTGGATTTCTCCTCCTTAGACTCCTTGGATCTCTCCTCCTTGGACTCCATGAATTCATCGTGGCTTGAATGTCCAAACGAAGAGATAAACCCCCTTAGAAGGGTATTGCCTTTTCTCTTTGGATATCTAAAAGTCATCCAAACTCAATCTTCCAAATGAAAGAAGATTCTCCCCTTTGAGGATGCCTTCTTTTTTTGAAATTTGGGTTGGATAAGAATATCCCGACTCAAAGTTATTTTCATAACTCTCACCAATATTACAAATAATTTATATTAATAAAAAAATAAATTCTAGACTCTCCTGTAAGATTATCCTAATAAAAATTCCCAAGCAGTTATAACATCTCAAGCAGTTTATATGTAAAATAAAGGAAAATACTCATCACAACCACACTTGGCCATGCTCTTAATTATTTATGAGGGCTAAGCAGTCTCTGGAGCACCTGTACAAATTATAATTATGATTTTAATTTAGTCGTCATTTATTTAGGGGGCTGAGCAAATTTTGAAGCACATGCATAAAATATCATTAATATTTAAATCATAATATTTGCCCCCCCCCCCCCTTCATGAGCATGTCCACTTGCAAAAAATATGATTAGTATAAAAATATCATTCCTAACCTATGGGTATGCCTAACACATAATCTATCCATAGAGTACAATAAAAGTAAGAAAACATACCAATCAAATTCTCACAACATACAGTAAAATATCAGAAAATCTTACACATAGCAGAAAAGTAAATACTGGCCTAGCCTAGATCTATAAGTGGTGCCCTAGCAAATAATTCTATGTGTGTGTAAGGCTTGTGTGATTTTGGATAGGTCTTATGTAGGATGATTAGTTCAAATTGCCTAAGGTTAGAATTTGTTGAAGGCTAGAAAAGAAAATTTTAATTAAAGTTTAAATATTAGTGAATTAAGGTCCATTTTAGTTAATTTAGTTTTTTGATTCATTTTTTATGCTTAGGGTAGTGGTATTTGAAGTATAAATTATATTAGCCAATTTTGGAAAGTCCTAGGTCCTCCTTGGTGCTAGGATGAGGGGGTCCAAAAGATCGCTATAGGAAATAGGCTAAGTTTGGGATTCTTAATATTTTAGGTAAATAATAAATCTTAAGGTGAGTAGTTAGCCTTTGAGTTTGCTGGATTTGGAGTTTATGCAAAGTTATGAATTTTCAAAGTTTTGGGCATTTAAGGGAATTATTAAAACTGCCTAATTAAGGGTAATTTTATGGCTTTGATCCAAATCAGCTCCAAAATGATTGGAATCACTCACAAAGATCAGAAATGACCTAAAAACATGTTCCAAAGTGTTTAAGGAAAATTTGGGATTTTTAATAATTTTTAATCATCCAAAAAGGGCAAAATTGTAATTTTGATTAAAGTTAAAATTAAGGGTCATATTAAGGTCAAACCAAGGGCCTATTTATCAAAGCTTAAGGACTAAATTATGAGCAATTCAAGCTATTATGGGTAATTTTCTGAGTCAAAATGGATTTATTAAAATTTTTAGAAGCTAGCAGGCCCTAATTAACGGGTAAATAAGGGGTGTTAATTAAGGGGTCTAAAGAGTTCTAAAAAAAATCCTAGAAATTTTTGGGATGTTTAGGATGTCATTAAGTTTAAATATTGAAATTTTCATGTCAATAAGTGATCTACCCTAGCTCTTAGAATGTTTCTAAGTTCGTTAAACGGGTCCTTAATTTTTCTTCTTAGGGAGAGGGATTTATAATGAGATTTTGGACTAACCCTTAAGGTAACAATGCAGGGAGTACATAAAAGTAGAAAACATAATATGTCCTTAGATCTAGAAGAGACTAAGCTAGGTGCTCGTGCATCCTACACATGCAAAATACGATAAAAGAAACAACTAAGCATGATTATCGAAGCGATTAATGAATGATTGGTATATATATATAAATATATGCATAGCCTAATATTTAAAATTTTATTAAAGGGAATCTCCCAAAATTAGGGATTTAATTATAGGCAGTTTAAAAATAATTTTAAAATACTTATATATATATATATATATATATATATACATTTTACAAAT